TTGCAGGACCATGACGAAGCCCGACCTCAATCACCCGTTTATCCGAGATTTGAAGAGGGGCCTCACTAGGATCGTTTTAAGAGCGTCCTGGCCTGCAAGTTTGGGCAGCATCATTGTTGGTCCAAGCGGGAGTTTGAGAAGCTGCACTGCTACGAGCACTTCTCCGCCATTGTCACCAACTGCCCCTTGCGCCTTCTACTATGCATTCGCGAGAAGGTTTACCACGAGCCCGTGCTTGAGTTATACACGACCTTCCAGCATGCAGACACGGAGGATTGGAAGGACGGAGAAGCCGTCAAGTTCAGGCTCGACGGTGCACCCCGATCCATGAGCTACCACGACCTGGAGACCGCCCTCGGCCTGGCCGATGACAAGGACTACGTCACCGAGCTCATCGAGCCAGAGGGGGTGAACTTCAAGAAATTTTACACCCGCCTCGCTCGGCCAGGCCAGCGTCCCTTCTTGGCGGGGAAGACGAAGGCCAGCACCTTGTAGCTCGACAACCGCATTCTCCACCCCTTGCTGGCAAAGTCCTACACTCCAGCCTTGGACAGTGCCAGCGCCATCACCAGGAGAGCCATGTACTTCATCCAGTCTATGAGCCAGGGGGATCATCTTCTCCACTTGGGTTCTGTGGTGGCAAGAACCTTCGACAAGAGTGCTTCAGAGCTTAAGAGCCTCCACTGCACTCCCCTCATCACCCGCCTGGCCACCTACTTCCAGATATCACTGCAGGGGTGCACAGAGCAGGGGGACACCAGTGTCTTTGGCGAGGAGTCAAGTGGATCGAGGGGTTTCCTCAACCTCAGATCCCAACAGAGGACCAGCCGGAGTTTCTAAGGATACGGCGGATGAGGATGTCCACCCCGAGGATGTGGATGATACTGTTGCCGGCCGCACCACCACCTTCGAGTACGGGGGTGGCAGTTCCATTTTCCCTGGCCAGGACTACTTCGCTCACCAATTCGAGCAGCTGCGTCTCCAGAATCAGCAGCTCTTCGACCATCAGCTCCAGTTCCAGCAGCAGTATTCGTCTCACCATGCCGAGTACCAGACCCGGATGGCTGCTTATGATGAGCATCTTGATCGGATGGAGACCCAGCAGGGGGTGACCCTGGCTGGCATCGAGAGGGAGCATGCCCGATCTCGGCGTATGCAGGAGGTCCAGCAGCACCTGCTCCAGCTGCTACCGAGCGAGAAGCCAGTCTGGAGGACTTCCTGGGAGGACTCTCCACTTCCACCTCCACCAGCTGATGATGATGATGCATTCATGAATGACATCGATCTGGACAACCTTGGCGACGAGTAGGTTGTACTTGTCGCCCCTCAGAGTGTGTTTTTGTTTTAGTCTTTTTATGTTTGCTCCATGTGTTTGAGGAGCTTGAACTGAGTCTGTCGGTTGTTTTTTTTTTCTTTCTTTTGTGGATTGTTTATTTTGTGGCCATCTAGGCCAACTCTGATCCCTAACACACGGTGTGCTAGTGTGTTCTTGATGTTCCCTTAGTGAAGAACTGCCCGTTCGTTCCATATGTTCCCCACTGACTGGTCCACTTCCAGTCTTCTGCAGTATTTCAATCTGGTAACATCGTTCCCCTTATCTCTCCCTATGCTCCATTGAGGGCAATGTCGTGCTTAAGTGTGGGGGTGCTTTGTATCGGTTGGAATCTATATACGTGTGCTTGGAGCCTCCGCTGTCCAAATCTCGAGATTTGAGGGCTCCAAGTATGGCTGTTTGATCATATTGGCACTGTGTTTTGATTGGTGAATTGAATGGTTTTCGGATTAATGCATGACAACTGGATTGTGACTAGGACAACCTATAATGATGACTGAGACGTGCAGTAGGATTGTGTAGGGGTTCAGTTTTTCAACTGTTTGCTTACCAACTGTGACTTGGATGCTATGAATACTTCCACCACCTAAAAGGCGTTTTCCCCATGTCCAAGACCCTAGCCAGTCACTTGAACCTGTGTCTAAGACCTCCGGATTGGTTAGTGATGACAACCATTTATGTGAACTCTAACACTTAGAGGCTGCCGTCATGGTGAAGAGATGTTAGGGATTGAGAGAATAAGTATGCGCATTTTTCGCATCAAATTGTCCTGACCCCACTGGTCGAGAGTGAGCGATTCATTTCCTTGTTCTTTACACTCTTTACCCCGGTGAGGACCTAGATGGCTCGGTCTTGATTCTGATCTCTTGAGTTTTATGCATGAGGTGACTGTCTTGAGTAAGTGGTTGAGTCAAGTCTATGTTGGTTGATGAACAGAAGGAAGACTCCTCCTTTACTCGATTTTGCTGCACTCAAATGTCTTCTGTGGTGGTTGTCCAGGTTGCTATTGAAGTTGCTCATGTATTGATGTTTGAAAGCCAGTATGATTCACGTGTTTCTGTGCCTATATGATTTGTCCCCAATGTTGGTATGATTGAAATATGTGAGCTTACCTTGTGTCTGACTTGGTTTGCTTGGGGACAAGCAAACGGTTAAATGTGGGGGAGTTTGATAAACCGTTAATTGCACAAATTTTTACCCCTATTCCTGATCCGTTTGAGATGTTGATTCCCGTGTTTTAGGCCGATTTCACGCTAGGTTGTGCTTGTTTGTTATATTTCAGGTCCTAGTACGTGAATGAATGTTTGGGAGCGAGTTCGGGGTCGATTAGACGAAGATCGGACGTGTGGCGAGTCGCTGAGGAAGCCACACGGGCACCCATAAAACCCACACGGCCAAGTAAGGAACCAATGTGGCCGTGTGGGATTGTGCGAGGCTTCACACGGGCAGACTGGAGACTCCACACGACCGTGTGTCCCTGGCCGTGCAGGTAGCATGAAGTTCAATTAATCGAAACTCGGCGTTTTGTCTCTCACACGGGCATCTGGGTAAGCCACACGGCCGTGTGGCTTGCCCGTGTGATTCGGGAATTCTGGTTTTAACCCAAATTCGAGCCACAAGTGAGGGGATCGACTTTTCAGAGCAAAAATAGAGCCCTAGAGAGAGAAAGTGCGAAGAACGCATCCTAGAAGCGATCTTGGAGCTGGGTTTCGTCAAATCGAGCTTGGAGATCATCATAGGAGTGAAAATCATCATCCCAGAGCAGATTCTTCCCATTGATATGAGTATGACTGCTTTGTATTCTGTTTTCCCCTCTCTCTCTATGGAGTAGAGCCCTTCTCTCACTTGGGTATGAAGAACCCTAGTTCCATGTGTTAGGGATTTGATTGTAATGACTTGGGATGATTATACTGTTTTGTTTTAATCGAATGATGCATGTTTTACTGAATTGATTGAAGTCTGATCAGCTTTTCTTGATTTCTGTTGCAACCTGAGATAGATAGAATCTGATTAGGTTGTTAGAGCCTCTTCATTAGGTAGTAATAGATTGGCTATATGAGAGTTAGTCAGTCCACTGCTTTGTACTGGAATCCGATTCCAGTAGTGGAGTTCTGTGCTTATTGCTTCAGCTTTCTATCCCGGTGAAGACTAGTCGTCTGCCGGGTAGTTAGACTGAGAGGGCTTGGTCAGCTTAGATTCCAAGCTACTGTCGGATCTTCCGCAGTCTAATGAACAGTAAATCAACCCAGGGTAATTACAACTGAGACCTAACTAAGGAGCTAGGGGGACTCATTCTCGAGTGACTCTTCCTTTGCTTGAGAAAACCGAATCAATTACTGTTTTCTTTCAGCTTTCAGTTAAGACTAAAATCAATCGACTTAGTTTGCTAGATAATAGATAATAACGGAGTAGGCAGTAGATCTAGACCCCGGGTTGATATTTAGAACTTGCCACTTTACTGCATTTCCGGACTGCGATTACACTTGGTCGCAGTTTGGTGTTGTGTTTTGGCGTGTTATGGGGTCAGGAATTTGATGCGAAAAATGCGCATACTTATTCTCTCAATCCCTAACATCTCTTCACCGTGACGGTAGCCTCTAAGTGTTAGAGTTCACATAAATGGTTGTCATCACTAACCAATCCGGAGGTCTTAGACACAGGTTCAAGTGACTGGCTAGGGTCTTGGACTGGGGGAAAATGCATTTTAGGTGGTGGAAGTATTCATAGCACAAGGTTCCACATTTCCAAACCCAACAAACTCACAGTCAATCAAACCAATAACTTTCTTTCTGCTATTCTGCATTACTCAAATTCTTCAGAGCACAAGAGCGAAGGAGGTCACATAAATGTTAGTATTTCTAAGCCAGACTGCTAAGAAACACTACTTAATGAGCATGATTCAGATTTTTGGGTAGTGGCTCTCTCTTGCTTTCATTCATTTTTTTTTTCTTTTTTCTTCATTTTCTTCATTTCTTGAGAGAACCACCACCTCTGCACATTTCTCAAACACATGCCCAATTTTTAAGCATTACCTCCAACCCTCACATTATATTTAGTAGAGACAACATAGAACATGCAAAAACCACTCTGTGGAACCTTCTAAGAGATGCAAGAGGGCGATTTTCCATTGTAGACCGAAAGAAAGAAAAGCACACGACTCAAAGGGGCTGACTAGGGGGTATGACACACCAGGACAGTCAATTTGGTCTTGGGCTAATCCTATGCCTCCATCATCTTAGCTAGTGACAACGTGAATGCTACACATCTTGGAAGAGGGATCTATCGCACAAGAAAGAAACGAGCAGGCTCAAATCTCACATGGCTACCTATATGTTCTATCTCTCATTCTGATTCCCTGAACTAGATGCATAAACGACTGTTAAGAGCAAGTGATCAATTCAAGTCACAGTTGGTAAGCAAACAGTTGAAAAACTGAACCCCTACACAATTCCACTACATATCTCAGTCGTCATCATAGGTTGTCCTAGTTACAATCAAGTTGTCGTGCATTAATTCAAAATCCATTTGATTCACCAATCAAATCCACAGTGCCATTATGATCATGCAAACCTCAGTACTTGGAGCCCTCAAATCTCGAGATTTGGACAGCAGACTAGGCTCCAAACACACATATATAGATTCCAACCAATACAGCACCCCCCCCCCCACACACACACACACACTTAAGTTCGACATTGCCCTCAATGGAGCAGACGGAAATATAAGGGGAACGATGTTACCTGAAGGAAAGACTGTCGGGGGACTGGAATTGGACCAGTCAGCGGGGCTAGCATCAGCAAAACACACTGGGTGATAGAAACCATAGTTCCATGTGGACAAACCAAAAATAAACGAAAGGAAAACAAACCTTGGTGGGGTTGCCTCCCCACAAGCGCTTCTTTACCATCGTGAGCCGGACGGTGGCTCCTAAGTTTCGGTCCACCCCAGAACCTCCTTGAAGTTGAGGTTCTAATTAATGAGGTGGAGTCTCAAGTCATGAGCATGTGATGTGATAGGTGATGAAGATGGCTCATGACCTTGAGGAAGATGAAGTCTCCACTCTCGAGACATCTCCTTCACGTATGCTCTTGTCTCATTGCCCCAAACCAAATCAGATATATTCGATTGACCACCATCGCATCCACCAAGAGGGATCGATGTTGATGTGGTCTTAGTCTGGCAAAGAGACACTGCAAATGGGTCCTTGCCAAGCAGCTCCTCGAAGTTTGGTGGAGATATCACATGTAACTCATGGCCAGTGCATGCCTCTTCCACCTCAACTTCATCCTCAGCCTGGACACCACTTGCTTCGTTAACCCCCCTTCCTTCATCAGAATGTCGTCTCTCCCCTTGGAAAAGATCAAGAACTTCCTCTTCTTTGCTTTCTTCCTCATCCTCCACAACTTCTTCCCTCACCCTTTCTCACTCTTCTTCTTCTAGCACAGACTGGAGAGCAAGTCGCCATGTAATTTCTTCAATGAGATCATCTTGCATCTCCTTGCTCGGGCCCATCATATCAGAGCGGAAATGGGGACAGTTGTGATCTACCACCAGAGGATACACTTGATCATAATTATCATGGGAGCTTTCCATGACAACTTTTGTATGCTCCTCAACATCCTCATGATTGCCTTCTTCTTCCTCCTCCTCTACTTGTATGGCAACATAAAGGTTGTCTTTAGAAAACTATGCACAAGCTTTCTCAATGACCTCTATGTGCTTCTTTATGCTCCGAAGGGTATCCTCTATTTCACGGGGAAAGGAGAAGTCAGTTTGGGCCATGGCCTGGATATGAGGATCCATCTCGGGAAAGGATCTCTCAGGTACTCGAGCAATCTGCTCCACGAGAAGCCTCAAGTGATAGTTTGGATCTGGCTGCGGAGTGTAGCATGGCTCTGCCGGATGGCCCGTGAAGGCTGTGACTAAATCAAGATCTGATGGCCCTTCTAGTTGTGGGAGGAATTCTTCTTTATAATGAGATTTTTCTTGAAATACCCAAGGGTCTGATTGTTCTTCGTAGTAGAGGGGTTGGTACTGAAACCCCACTCCATAGTCTTCTCCTCCTTGGGTGCTCCAGGAAGTCTCGGGGTAATACCACTCGGGTGGTGGTGGATAGCCCTAATGGTTTGAGAAACCTTGAGAACCCATGTATTAGATCTGCACCAACAAAAACAAAATACCCAAGTGAAAAGCAAGGGTGGAAAAGAGAGGATGAATAAAAGTAAATGCTAAAGTAACAGACTTTCACGTTTCTACAATAACCTAGAGTTCCCCGGTAACGGCGCCAAAAACTTGACACACTAACACACAACACCAAACTGCGACCAAGTGTAATCGCAGCCCGAAAATGCAGTAAGTGGCAAGCTCTATTTGTCAACCCGAGCCTAGATCTACTGCCTACTCCGTGATTATTTATTATCTAGCAAACTAAGTCGAGTGATTGTGGTTTTAACTAAAAGAAGTAAGAAAGCAGGAAATGAATTGGTTTTCTAAATCAAGGGAAGAGTCACTCGGGAATGAGTTCCCATAGCTCCTTCGTTAGGTCACAGTTGTAATTACTTTTGGTTGCTTGACTATGGATTATACTACAGAAGATCCAACAGTAGCTTAGAATCTCTTAAGCTGACCAAGCCCTCTCAGTCAAACTACCCGGCAGACGACTAGTCTTCACCGAGATAGAAAGCTGAGGCTCTAAACATAGAACTCCACTACTGGAACTGAATTCCAGTACAAAGCAGTGAATCGACTAACTCTCGTATAATCGATTCACTACTACTGATTGAAGAAGCTCTAACAACCTAATCATATTCTAGCTATCTCAGGTTGCAGCAGAAATCAATAAAAGATGATAAGGCTTCAATTGACTCAATCAACACACTTCAATCGATTATAACCCAACAATATCACAATCCAAACATCGTTACAACAATGATCCCTAACACATAAAACTAGGGTTCTTCATACCCAAGTGAAAGAGGGTTCTACTCCATAGAGAGAGAGAGGAAAACAACAAACAAAGCAGTCATACTCATCAAGATGGGAAGAATCTACTCTGTGATGATTATCTCCGCTCCAAGGGTGATTTCTAAGCTTGATTGATGAAACACAGCTCCAAAACCACTCTTAGGGGGTGTTCTTCACACTTTCTCTCTCTAGGGCTCTGTTTTTGCTCCAGAAAATCGATTCCCTCTCCTTAGGCTCGAAATTGGGTTAAAACCCAGAATTACCTGATCACACGGCCAGGCCACACGGCGGTGTGGCTTTCTAGTCTGCCCGTGTGAATGTGGAAATGCCGCGTTTTGATTAGTGGACTTCAGGCACGCTGCACGGCCAGAGGCAAACGGCCGTGTGGATTTCCAGTCTGGCCATGTGAGCTCCCTAGACTTTCCAAAGGCCACAAGGGGTCTATTACACGGCCAGTGTGGCTTGGCCGCGTAATGGGATTCCACACGGCCGTGTGGCTGCTAGGTCTGGTCGTGTGGATTCCTCAGCCCCTCGCCAGACGTCCAACTTTCGTCCAATCAACCCGAAACTCGCTCCCAAACTTCAAATCGCGTACTAGGACCTGAAATAACACAAATGAGAACAACCTAGCGTGAAATTGGCCTAAGATACGAGAAATGAGGCTCAAACGGCATAAGAATGGTGGATAAAAACATGTGTATATATCAAGTCATCAAGTATCGTGCTATGGCTAGCACTGGGAGTGAGGTGTTGTGGCTTCGTTGGCTCCTCCATGATCTGGGTGTCTCCTCCACTGGCCCTAATCCCTTGTTCTGCGACAACCAAGCTACACTCCATATCGCTGTCAATCCGGTTTTTCATGAATGGACTAAGCATGTCGAGATGGATTGCCATTTTGTTCGCGAACGTGTCCAGTCTCGTGACATTGCCCCGGCGAAGATATCCACCTTGGAGCAGACGGCGGACCTGTTCACGAAGGGCTTGAGTGTTTATCATTTCCATCATCTCTTTGTCAAGCTCGGACTTCTTGACATTCACTCCTTCGCTTGAGGGGCGTGTTGTGATCCCTACGCACTTTGTATTAATTGTAGGGGTCATTTTGTATTTGCTACTCCATGTCTTCATGCATATAGGGTAATGGTTGCAGCCGCCGAACCCCAAGACTCAGAGAACATCATAATATTTTCATCTGCGGGAGCTCCAAGCTCTCCGTGGACTAGTCCCGTTCAAGTTGAACGGGAAAACCACATAAACCCTGGTCTCGTGTTCTTTCCGCGTTTCTCGTGTTTTACACGAAGGAATGCCTGAACTTGAACTACCAAGAGGACAGAGTTACACGAAGGAGAAGATGCAGAGCACTGTAGCAGCAACCTTAGTCATTGAAGCAGAGCCTTGTGAGTGCAAGGCGATTCGAAATATGGGAAACGTTTCATGCTGACAACCTGAGGTCTTTGTTGAAAACGATATCGCTTTACATTGTTTTATTTATTGCTTAATGCTTTCCTATAGTTAGTTATTTTTACCGTTGTAGGTTACAGTAAAACTTGAAGGCCATTTAAATCAATCGAAACCCATCTGTCCAAGCTGAGGATTCTCCAAATCATTTTAGGTTTAGAATAGCGATGACGAGTTTTAGGTTTTTGTTGGGTTGCATGTCGAGTTATAGGTTTTTGTTTATGATTTAGGATACTGACCTTCCTTTTTTTTGTTTTGATTATTATGACAGGAAGAGGAAAGGTTCGCCTGCTTGGATCTCGACGGCGTGGAAGGCAAGCAACGGTGACTAGAATATTGGACGATCTGTGGGGTTGTTCTTTGACCCATTTGTGGAGCCCAAAATGGGTCTTTGAAAATGAAAATACACTGCCCAATTATATCGCAAATGAGGCCCCTCAGTGACCCCTTTTGGAGCTCGGTATTGGCCGTGAAAAAACAAAACGCATAGTATTATTTAATTGTTGTGAAAGGGCAAAAGAATCCTTCTGTGAATCACTATGGGGCTCCATTATGAAATCCCTGAAAAATCCAATCCATGTATTGCTGCCCTCTTTGTCGCTCATGAATGTCATGGTGTCACAGCCAAAGGCCATGAGTCTGTTGTGGACGTCGGAGAATCGAAAAGGCCCGCTGCTGAGCGTGATGGTCAGTATCTTGGCAGTGACGGATTTAGAAATTTTACATAGCGGTGTTTTAAATTAATAATAAAATAGTTATTAAATATTAAATATCCAACTTTTGCGAATTATTACTAAAGCACACAATGTGTTTCGTATTCTGAAAAAATTGTAAAATACATTGGTGTCTAATACTACTTTACAAATCTATCTGGATATATCTTACTAGACAAGGGAAGCCCGTAATTGGGTTTAGTCGTTAGCTTTTCAAAATAATTGGAATAACAAATAGCTTTTTACTATTATATTTAAATTAAAAATACAAAAACTAATAAGTTGTAGTCTAATGAAAATATGTTTAATAATAGTAGTAGCGACACAAACTCAAAATTGATATTGAATGCTAGCTAATCGTTTTGCAGGATAGGAGATTGCATATAACATTTAATATGCATTTAATAATTAAATATTATTATAATGATACAAATGTATATATAGACCCCACAAGTTTATGTTCTATTATGATTTCATTATATGAATATTCGTTCAATATATATAATAAATATACTTATATTCTTAGCTTTTATATTGTTTCACGGATGGCAATGGTGATTCTCATTATATGTTCTCGATGTTATTATTTATTATGCTCTAACGGTAGCAAGTAAAATGAATGGGATAACATCTTTGGAAAAGTATTGTCAATCATTTTTGGACTTTCAATATGTCTTCTAGCAAGATAAGGTACACTTTCTTATTTTTTTATATTTTAAGTAGCTTATTTGGCTAAAAAAATTGTTGAATGCTTTGAGAACTTTTGGCTCTCATCTAAACTTCAGCATGATTTTTTGATGGGCCCCACCAGAACGCTAAAATTGTGGGGGGGGGGGGGGGGGGAAGAGTTGTCACGATATGATAGGAAAAAAAGAAATGAATATAAGGAACCAACGATTCTCCCTTCTTTAGGCTTGTTAACTTTGATTTAATGGTCTTGCTATGCATTTTGGGAGACCTTGGTGGGCTATTCTCATACATGTTTTAAGAATTCATAGACCGCCTACCAAGTGTTTGTAGAAATTTCCCACTTACATGGTTTTCAATTTTTTCATTCCTATTAATTGAACATCAACTTCATTGCACTTGTTTACTATTGTTTACTTGATTTGAGTTGTTTAAGGAGATCTAGGATTATTCATTTTCATTGAACTATATCTCCCTCTAAGTCCTCCTTTATTTCCAAGCTTTAGTTTCACTCAAGTGTGGGGAGAGTTCTTCCAACATGTTATGTGATGTTTGGATTGATGGTTTGTGCATATTGTACTACTGGTTATGAAGGATTACTTACAAGAACAATGGAATAGCACGTGGAGAGAGTTCTTCCAACATGGAAACTTCTAGAACTTCTCATTCTCACCACGACCATCGGGAGAAGAAAAGAAAATCCGGATCAAAGGAAGTAGTTGTTGAAGAACAGAATCAACCATCACTCTCTCCCCGTCTAATAAGGGGAATTTATCAAGAAAGTCAATCCAATGTTGGAGGCGTCATGGAGCATCTTACTCATTTATATTTGGACAATGTTCCCGAGTAATTTAAGGCCAAACTTCTTTGGCTTCAAGGACTTCCTCTTGGCCAGAGTACGTGTCTCAACTGGATACTCTTTGCACGGCTTGGGATTGAGGAACCAATTCGTTCCAAGATCCAGAAGTTGGAGTGGCTTAAATTGTTAACCATTCAAGAGAACATTTGTAGGGCACTTGTCCTAGAATTCATTAGCACTCTTATGATTCAAGATATGTGAGGTGCCACCGACCTTCAAGAGAACATCCAATTCAAGCGAGAAGGTGAACATCGCCAAATGTCGATCCGGGAGTTTACAAGAGCCTTGGACATTTACCCGGCGGACTTTGTTGAATCACCGGAAGATTTTGCTACCTTGGAAAGGGAATCCAACTTCCCATCTTTCAAGTCTTTCTATGAATCCAAAGTCAAGAAGTCCAACAATTAACAATGAGATGTAGAGCTATCGAAGGCTAGTAAGATGAAATCGGAGGGGTGACCAATCCACCATGTGATTGCTAGGTCCGTGGTTGGAAAGAATCAAAGTAAGGGCAATTTGAATTCCCGAGACATCATTTTCTTCCAAATCATGCATCTTCCTCATTCGCTTCATCTCGGTTTGGCAATTCTGACTATCTTCAAGTGACAGAAACAGACCATCGACTTACTGCCCTTCATGAAGGAGCTTATGTCACTCGACTTGCAAGGTATTTCGGAGTAGACTTCTTGACCGTGCAATTTCGGTAGGATAATAGGACTACTCCTATATCATTCGACATCTTGAAATCCAGAATTAAAGTGTTACATCTGAGTGGCATGGCGTTTGGAGAGTACGTGGACTTCCACTTCCAACATATTGGATATGGAAGGTATCATGTTCCGTCTTCCAAAAGTCACGACGGTAAGAGGACGATGGGGGCTAGTCAACGAGGAAGAACATGATGAAATCGTGTTTGAGGAAGGAGAGGCACATCTATCCACTTCTAATCTGGTTTCCCCACCACTCAACCATGCAAGAGATCTCTGATTCAAAGCGATGATAGCGAAAATCCTTCAAAATCAAAAGAGGGAGAAGAAAGTGTAGCTCCATATCATGGCGTGCATCCATGCTATAATGAAGGAGATGGATATCCTTATTGAAGATGTATCGCCCCAATTTGTTCGCTCGCCTTCCCATTTGCCATTCCAAGAAGAAGAAGAAGATGGACCCTCCGAGGAGGACTAAGTACTAGGCATCCAGGGCCCAAGTTCTATCTTTTCATTTCTTTAAGCAAAGTTTAATTATTGCTTTTATTTTAGTTTTAATTTTTGTACTTTAAATATTCTAGTAGTAGTAGGCTAGTAGCAACCTTATTTATATTATCAACTTATCCTACCTATGTCCTATAATTGTCTTCCTCTCTTTCTTATGTGATTTACCATTATCAAAAACACCAGGAAGACAAAGACCTACACTTGTGTATCTTCACCAACCCACAACCCAACCTATGGTAACCTTCATAATCTTCTCTTTTGAATCTCACACATTGAGGACAATGTGTCGCTCATGTGTGTGTGTGTGTGTGTGTGTGTGTGTGTGTGTGTGTGTGGGCGCGCGCGCGCACGTGCGTGCGTGCGTGTGTGTGTGTGTTTGTGGTGGGGGGGGGGGATTTGTGTGAATGCTTGAATGATTATCATGATTGATTAAGCCATGAATCTCTAGTATTCTCCCTTGATTATGAATGTAAGACGTTGATGTTCTCTTATGGGAGTGCATGCTAGCGATTGATTGTGTTTGTGGTGTTGAATGGCTTACTGATTGTATTTTGGAACCTAGACTGCAATGCTCAAATTTTTTCAAATTTGAGGGTTGACCTTGTTTCTTGCAACTTCCTACTCAGTATGCTTTGAATTGATAGATAATTGATGTGTTGTGTTCGATAGGGAGTAGTTGCATGATTAGAGTACAGTTGTATGAGATATTTTACTCTCTTCTTCCTCTTTGGTGAGTCGATAATGTTTACTATTTTTGGAAGAACATGTGTGCGGGACTCTCCACCACTTTTGAACTCAAAACTTTTGCAAATTTGTGCTCAACTTAAAAAAAAAAATTGATAAAGATCTTTTGTAATTGAGTATTTCATGTGAGAAGCACCGAGCATAGTCTTTGAGTTAAGCCATCAAATGGCGTTTCTCTTTGCTCGGATTTCCACTCGAGGATGTGTTTGGGGAATGAATAGCTTTATTGCGTCCGGATCATCCTTCACTATTTACCATCCCCCAAACACCTCTCCTCCTCACGGAAAACAATACCTCGGGTCTTGTTTGTACCCAACATGTGTGGCAACCCAATAGATAGTGCAGGCTGGGAAGTGGTGCTCGGGCTAAGACGAATCCACGCATCAACTTCTGCACATGTGACCTTGATAGGAAGGCAAGGATACATCCGCTTTTGTTCATGAGGGAGAGATGCTTACTGGAAAAGAGTTTGCGAAAGTTTGGTGCAATGCGCATCAAAGTTGAAAAAAGGAGACAAAAAAATGACAACCCCTACATTGAAAGAAAGAATAAAGAGCACCCTCAAGAGTTCTTATTCTTAATTGTTGTTGAGAAATCCCTCGGCGCTCACCTTGTATGTTCATCCCGAAGTAGTAGGTATGGTCCTCACTAGGGAGTTCGTGTTTGCACACTAAGAGGATAGTAATGTTTACTCGTCTCTGTATACTTTTCTTTATGCAATGAAGAACTAGAGTGCCCCGACCCCCCCCCCCTCGTCAATTTGTCTATCAAGTTGCATTGGTTTGAGTAGGTTTGCTTGAGGACAAGCAAACACCTAAGTGTGGAGGGATTTTGATAACACCAAAATAGGTGCTATTTACCCTTCATATTTAGGTTTGTTTCATGCTAATTTGTGTGCATAATCGAAAGAATATCATCGATTGCATCTATATTTTGTTCATATTTGATTATGTCGCTATTTAGGGTTCTTTAGACGATACATGTGAACTAGTTACGAAAAAGGACACAAGTGTAGTGAAATGGGCAGTAAGCTGATCATTAAAGCCTAAAAGGGAAAAGATCCCGGCCAATACAGCAGACCATGAAGTAGGAGAGAAGATTGTGGCCGCGAAGATGGAGCCCTTTTGCGTGAACTTCGTGAGGAAGCCATCCGAGAGAAGACAGAAGTTTTGACGGTCGGATCACGGTCATTGTCTCACTGGCCGCGAGGAATTTCGCGACCGTGACGCACGAATTGTGACCGTGAAGTTGGCCCGCGAATTCTTCTATGTATCTTCTTCCCTCCTTTATGGAGTAGTCTCTTAAGGTACTAGGGGTTCTAATCCCCAAAACCTAGTTTTAGGGTGATAGGGCAAAAGCGTAATGCCAATTTCCTATCTCGTAGTAAAACCGGAAAGTCCGGGTATCGTCTCTCAGGGACTGGTACAACCTTTTATTCTATCAATTTATAGAGCAAACTATAGGTGAAAATGGTTTATGAGACTAATTATCTAAAAGCAAAATAAACTAATTAAACAAAGTAAAATGGTCGGGAGAAATTCAATGGAGAAAGCTCTGGGAGAAACACCGGGATTCACTATCTATCATATCCAAATTAATTCACATATTCCAATTAGTTTAATCCAACTCTCTATAGCCAGGATATCACGAATGTGCTAGCTATCCCTGTTGGGAATTACTACGTACTAAACAATTAATTCAAATCCTACTGTCGTAGCTCAATGAATTAACTATTTAGCCTGAAGAACGATATCCTATTTAAGACCGCATAGCACCTTATTTAATCCACTGTCGCTTCGATAAGTTACTATGTCACATGAAATATGTTCAGTTATTAGGGTTGCACTGTCGCTAATAACCTAATTAACAACAAATCAGTGTATTGGTGGCCAGTCAACACAAAGCATTAAGTAATTTCATGCAATAGAGATTGGAAAAAAAGAGATCTGAATTAATCCATCGAGTCTAAAAATAGTTGCATCCTATAGTGTTTCCCCCAGAAATTGGGGTTTAGTTCATGACGAATATAAAACACAAAATCATGTTCTTGTTGTTCATCATGATATTAATCAAAGGAAAGGACCGAAGATACTCGAAAACACTCGCACCGCCCGTCGCTCCAAAGGATCTCTAGCGCTGCTGCTTGCCTTCCCCTCCGCCCGATCCGCTGCCTCCCAATTATTCCTCGCCCCCAAGATCGACAACTGCTCCGCGCGACAGCTGCTTCTCCAATTCCGTCTGTGTCCCAAGCCTCGCGCTGTCCCTCTGCTTTCTTTCTTTTCCAAGAATCCTCCCCCCAGAGAATTTCCTTCCATCCCCAATTAATAGTCCCCAAAATAATTAATTGCCTCCCACAATAAATCACAGCCGTCTCTCTGTCCGTGTCCAATTATTCTCCCTCCTCTACAATTCTCCGTCCCACCATAATAATCCCCTCCTCCTTCCAATAATTCCCCCCGTAAAGCCAAACCTCTCGACCCACTCACAATAATTTCGGTCCAAAAATTTTGTGTCCACCCCCAAGCTTGCGTGTCCCAATTGTGTTACCCAGCTAGCTGGGCTTTAAGCCCATTAGGTCCGCTCCCCCTTTGATCCCAATCCAGCTGGGCCTTCCAGGCCCATGTGTTATTTAGCCAGTGATTCGAGAATTGTTTGCCTGTGCAACTTCTTTTTCGTGTTTTCTTCACCTGTAATACATCAAACTCATGGCACTAGGCGATAATGGTTTTTTTCAACCATTCTCGGGTTAGCGAGCCCTAAAATAGCACCAATTGGCTTAAATATATCATGGGATAGTCACATAAAGTTCAAAGATCCGATATATTAAAGCCGATTATCATAGGGCTACTGTGTAGTGAATGAATATGTTAGGGTTTTGAATGCATGTGTTTATCTAGTTGATTTTAATGCTTCATCTATTTTTAATTGTGCTTGGGTAAGTCTCCCTAATCTTCTCTACTAGCCTACTTTAGCTTCTACGCTGGGTATGGATTTTTAGGGTTAGACAGGTATGCACCATCTGGCAAATTAGGGTTAGATGAATGAATAGGGTCTTATGGTGGAGGAGGCGACCGAGCCCCTGCAATAAAAATGCCTTCCTAGATGGAACCCCGGATGAAACCTCGGTGTGGACGGTGAGTAGTACCCATTAAAACGAGCTAAGTACTTAAAGCCATAGATACGTGAGCCTATACCGAGGTGACAATGGGGTAGGTAGGGCGTACTCGGAGGTGTGTGGATAATCACGAAGGCTCACGGAAAAGAGCTCACTCACCACATTCGCTTAACCCAACATGTTTAGACATTCGCATGATAGACCTAAGTTAGGGCAAGGGTTAGTTCCCCAACGTACCTGCTTTTATCCTTGTTTATTCTCTCTACAAGTTATTTTATTTGAATCCTCCTACCAAATCCTTTAAATCGATTGGCTAGATAACAACAACGTGGGAAGTAGACTAGGGTACCGGGACCCGAGTGAATATGACCATAAGTGCCACTATATGACAATTTCATTTTAAGTTAAACTTGTCCTGGGATGTGGTAGTTATTGATACGTGCAAACTACTGACAATGACCTGCACGGAATGAATCGATCAGTCAAACACTTCATGTGTCATTTTACTAGGAATGTGTTGCCAACAGGGGACTATATAGTACGAAGAGCAAAAAATGGAGCGACAAGTGCCCCTTTTGAAATACATGTGAGACTCTAGTGCATCATTTTGGAGAATGTTAGAGGACAACGCGACTATTGCGACAGTCCGAGCTAGCAGACTGCTTCATCTACTGAAAGAGCCCTCACTGTTACACTTGGTTGCAGACGGCGATGGAGTCCCAAGATGAGGCCACCCTGAAAGCTTGCAGTGTCCTTCTCTGATTCTTCTGGAAGGAGAGGAATGCCCACTAATTTAATGGCATCAACTTGGAGGAATCAAAGATTGTCACCCAACCTAAATATTTCCTTGATGATTATCGAGCAAGACAGGAAAGGGAACATGGAGGGACAAGGTGGGAGGAGCGCAAGCATTGGCGCAAACTAGCGCAGGGGCGGACAAAAATCAATTCTGATGCGGCAGTTTTGGCTACAGGAGGGATTGGTTTTGGAGTGGTGATTAGAGATTATGGAAGGCAGTTCATCCTTGTCGCGGCAAAGAAAATCCCTGTGCAATGGGAACCTGAAATGGCGGAAGCCTTAACTGCAGAGATGGGGGTGCAATTAGCCCGACAGTTCTCGCTTCCCAACCCGATTCTGGAGACGCACTGCCTTACATTGACCAATAAGTTGGACAACGCTGAGAGGATTCACACAGAATCGTCATAGACTGTAGAGAGAGGGCAACGCAACAACACATATAATGCCCCATTCGGATACATGGTGGAACGAGAGACAAGTTTGGCTAGATAGACCCCCTGTTTTCTTGATTGATCATATTAAGCTAGATGATGTAGCCACAAATTCTCATAAATAAAATGATGACAGATTTCCATTAAAAAAATCTGGATGCATGAGAGTCAAATACTCCAATGACTACATTACCAAAAAAATATTTAGAAAATTCCAAATCATTTGACAATATAAATGAATTAATTAACATGAAACAATAAGAAAGTAATAAAACAAAATTTATCCAACCAACGGGTCAGGTAAAAACTAGTCTCCTAGAAGATGAGGAGATTAGTAAAGACGCTAATCGTCATTATCATACTCCCACTTTTGACAATAAAAAATGGGTTAATACCCTAGTTTGGCGCCAAGTTTGGCGTAAGTGTCAATTTAGCCCCGAATTTTCAAATGGCCAACTTTTCAAATTAATGGACAGATTTGGCCCGAAAATTTATGTTTACCATAAAAACTGATGGTCAATGCTTTTTTCCGTTAGTGACTCAGCATTATGTGCTGAGGTGGCAGTGATCTGACTTTCACATAAAAAATTATTAAAAAAACCTGAATATAAAAATATGAAATTAAATTAAATTAATTAAGAAAAATGGAAAGGATGTTGGCTTCAAAAATTTCAACGCACGGGTTATGAAAAACAATTTTAATACACCGAACAATTATCTCTCTCACAAATAAAAAATCTGCTTCCCAAATCCCTCACTTTCCCTACCCCAAATCTGTCGCTGAGTCACTGCTCTTCAGGGTGATTAGGTGGACAATTTCGAAACCTAATTTCTGGTAAGACAACTAATGGGAAAAAGACTTACGTCCCCCTCCCCCTCTTCTAGCCGCCTTATCAACCTAATTCCTCCGCCGTTAAACCCCAAAAATTCTCAACCGCATCCTCCTCCCGCCGCCAAGTCCCCCTTGGCCTCATACCCGCCGCGCACAACTTCGCCACATTCTTGATCTTCGCCTGCACCCTCCTCTCCGCGGCCACCAAGATTCGCGAGACGTGTGTGCGTGTGGCGTCGCTGCACCAACAACTACAACACCCTCCAGTGGCTCCTCTGCTTCCCCATCGACACTTTTCTCGTCGTTCTCCGCCGCCTAGAGCTCTCCGTCTTCACTGTCCTCAACCAGTCCTTCCTTCTCGCGACTTCCTCCCTCTTGCTCGAATTCTCCCAGTCATTCCATATTCTCGTGGGAATCTGAAACTATTCTTGTTGCTCTTGTACTCAATCTTCCATTCCAATGTCAACATATGCTTCATGATTCCGATCACAAGAGACTCCGACGGTCGTTTGGTGGCCAGAGAAGCATACTCGGTTACGGATTGGGGGCAGAACTCGGGCCCGGAAAACATGCCTGAACCCACTAGATGCCAACTCTATTTTAGGGGTGGGCAACCGGTTTGGGTAAACCCGAACCGACCCAAAACTGAATTAAACCGAACCAAAAACGAAATAATGCTATTTGGTTCGAAATCGGGAAGGGAAATATGGTTATTTCGGGAACAAGAGTTCCTTCAACCGAATCGAAATTCTGAATTTCCGACCGAAAAATCGAATTACTATAATTGCAAGCTCTAAATGGTGGATTTTTATGTTTGTACTTGTTTTGAGACTTAAACATTTGAATCATGTTAGTGTTTTATGACTTTATGTGTTGAAATGTTTGATTTTATCATTGATGAGGCATATAATTGCATATTAATTAGGTATTAACCTAAAAAAAATTCGAGCCAAAACTTAGGCCAAACTTCATACTAATTGGGTTTAACCTAAAAAAAAAAATCGACTCCTCCCACCGAAAGAGAAAGAGAAAAGCAAGAGGAGAAAGAAACAAAATTCACCCGCGTCGTCCTCTTCTTTGTCCTCTCTCGCTCTAGATTTCTCCTCCCATCAAATCACCAAAACCCACCTGTAAATTCGCTAACTTTCTCTGTGTAACACTTCCGCCTTTCCTCTTTCTCTCTCTTTAATCTCTCCGGCTGCAATTTTTCCTTCTCCGGGCAGCTCTGCCATTTCACTGAAATTGGCGTTTTTTTGCCGCTGGGGAATGGAGAGCTTGTAGATCCTTTACCACCAAAGTTGGATCTATTAATGCCTACCCCTGTTCCCATTGTAAGTTGCCCTTTCTGGGGTTTTCTTCTCTTCAGCTGAAAAGTTCGGTCTGCTGTGAATTTTATGCCTTTCGTGGAAGGTAGATTGGAGCAGAAAGGTTAAACGTGAAACTGTTGAATTTCTTTGGATGCGGTGATTAGTTCTGTGAATTCTGTTGAAAGAGGGATTTCTTTCTTATACATGTGTTAGTTTCTTTTCTGGGTTTTGAGTGATTTTAGTTTGCTGTTATAGATTATCTGAATGCATTGCGATGATGTTGAGTTCCAATGTCAGATCAACTAAATTTCAGATTAGCTGGTGAAAGTTGAGATGAACTTATGCGTGCGGTCTTGCTAATTCTGGTCAATTACTTGCTCTTCACTGAGTTAAAGGAAGTGCCAGGAATTGCATGTCATGTTCTTTTTCTTGATTGTGCCCAAGCTTACTAGTTCCGAACCTGTCTCTATTTATCTGTTTGTTGTTAAAATATGAAGGTGGTTAAAATTTTAAAGGAATTTGGTTCACAGCATGGATAGTGTTATGCCTATGGGGTTGTGGAAATGTTGACACCTGAACTACTACCATGAGCCAGGCCGAAGTACCAAGGGCGAAGCCACCTCTTGTTCCACTCGCAACCTTAATTGGTCGTGAGCTAAGGAACGAGAAGCTTGAGAAACCTTTCGTGAAGTATGGACAAGCTGCTCTTGCAAAGAAAGGGGAGGATTACTTCTTAGTAAAAACCGATTTCCAAAGGATTCCTGGAAACCCGTCTTCTTCGTTTTCTGTCTTCGCGGTACCAATCTGTTCCCTTTCACATGAAATAGGATGGTTGTGGTCATGATACTGAAAGTATCTAAAACCCTCGACCTTGTTTCGGTTTGCAGATTTTCGATGGACACAATGGCATCTCGGCGGCCATTTTTGCAAAGGAGCACTTATTGGACAATGTCTTAAATGCAATTCCTCTAGGAGCTAGCAGAGAAGAATGGCTTCAATCCCTTCCTCGAGCACTAGTTGCTGGTTTTGTGAAGACTGATATAGAATTTCAGCAGAGAGGTCTGCACCTTTTATCCTGTTCCACTTGTCACTGCCAGTTACATCTTATAAAAATGGCTCTAATCTTTGTTTTTGCAAACTGATAGGTGAAACCTCTGGAACGACCGTGACATTTGTTATCATTGATGGGTGGACGATTACTGTTGCCTCTGTCGGGGATTCTCGATGCATATTGGATACTCAAGGAGGCATAGTATCCCTCTTAACGGTTGATCATAGGCTTGAAGAGAATGTCGAAGAGAGGGAGCGTGTGACTGCAAGTGGTGGAGAAGTTGGAAGACTCAATATATTTGGGGGTAATGAGGTATAGATGAATGCAGTCTGATCCATCTTCCGAAACTTATGTTTGAGATATTTAATAACCAAAGAGAAATCATCTTGCTCCTTTTTTACTTGTTGCTTCAGTCTGCCTTATGTTATCTTTATTTGCAGGTTGGTCCGTTACGGTGCTGGCCTGGTGGGTTATGCCTATCGAGATCAATTGGTGACACTGACGTCGGGGAGTACATCGTTCCAATACCACATGTTAAACAAGTGAAGGTAAGTTCTGACCTTATCTTTTGGCATTAATTATATGAGGAAAACCTTTCTGTAACCATTACCTTATTATGAGCACATGTTCGGATTATTAGCTCTCGAATGCTGGTGGAAGACTTATCATTGCTTCAGATGGTATCTGGGATGCCTTATCTTCTGATATGGCTGCCAAGTCTTGTCGAGGTTTACCTGCAGAGCTTGCTGTTAAGTTAGTTGTTAAGGTGAGACTATATCTTAGATGGATTCCCATATAAAATTCTTTTGGATTCCTACAAGAATTAGTTTTGTTTGGATCTTCAGGAGGCTTTAAGGTCAAGGGGCTTGAAGGATGATACAACATGTCTTGTTGTTGACATCATTCCATCAGACCGTCCTATCTTACCCACAACACCCCGGAAAAAGAACAATATGCTCACTTCACTCTTCATTGGAAAGAAATCTCCGAGTTCTACTAACAAGGCAGCGAATAAGCTTTCAGCTGTTGGTGTTGTCGAAGAGTTGTTTGAAGAGGGTTCCGCCATGCTTGCAGAGAGGTACAATCACATGTTCTCTAGTTTGGTTAAGAACTTCCTGCACAACTTGGTTCAATATCGTTGTGGGAAAATCTTTTCTGGTAAAACCAAAACTAAATAAATTCCTCAATTTTTTGTTAACCAAAACCAGATTATTTTGTTTGGGCTGTTCATTTTAGGATTTCTGGTTTTGAATAACCAATGGCAAAGTAACCAATATTGGCTGATCCCTAAAGGGCCCTTCACCAATTGATGAAATCTACCACAAGTTGTTAAAACTTACTATAATTTACTTGGACCATGCTGGACGTTGAACTTTATACCCAGAACTTTACTTATTGTTTCGTTAATAATTGTTGGATTTGCTCTATTGGAGTTTAGAAGTCGAGCAATGCATTTTACTTTTAGCGAATGTTCTGTATATCATCTTGGTTATTTTACTTCGACGAATATTGTCTAATGTGGTTGAAATTTTGGTTAACCGAACAAGGAATAGTTGTGTTCCGAAACCAATGCTACCCCTACTCCCCTAGTTCTATGTTCAGTTTTTCGTCACTCATGCTTCTGTCGTTTTGTATGTTGTGAATTGCAGACTGGGGAAAGATTTGCCTTCAGACAGAAACGCTGGCCTCTATAGATGTGCTGTCTGCCAGGTGGACCAAACGCCAGGAGATGGTTTCTCAGTGAACTCGGGTCCTTTTTTTGCACCTGGATCAAAGCTATGGGAAGGTCCCTTCCTGTGCACTAATTGTCGGAAGAAGAAAGACGCAATGGAAGGGAAGCGGCCAAGCAGACACACAGTGACTGTGTAAGCAAAGCAAAGCAATTCAATCAATGTCTGGTAACAATAGTACATAACCGCCAAATGTTATTTCTTTTTTTCCTAGACGGGAGCATGCTTGATTTCTTTTTGTTGCGAGCTTCTCGTATTGATTTGTAATCCAATGTGTAAGAAATGAGTAGGGTTTTAGATGGAATAGGTACTTTGATCATTTTCCTTTGTTTTTCCCCCAGTCGTTTGAGCTGCCGTTGATGATGCCTGGTTTGTGCCCTCACCCTTTGTACCAGAGGACTGAGTTCGCCTTCTGTCTGGACAGATAGAGATGTGGATTTGTCTTTTGTCATAGTTTGGTTGATTGAATAGCTAACAGCTTGATGAAGAATTTGTAAGTAAAGAATTTGAAGGACGAAATTGCTTTTGCTGACATATTTTTACCACCATAGCATGCAGAAAGCGTCCTCCTTTGGCTTGAATTGGGAAGACACAAGCCAATATTAACATCATAATTCTTTCACTCGATTCGTTACATCATAGTTCGGTTTTTAACGATTTTACCAGTAAACCTAAAACTATTAGTGTCACCAATATGCTAGTGGTTGCTCAAGAAAGCCTTCTTCAATGAGTTGCAGCTCTGCTTTAGACAGCCTTGTCCAATGAATAAACATAATACACTTCATAAGTTCCAGCTGCTTAAGAAAGACTTCTCCATCGACTTGTTTGTGCTTAATATAGCATAAGTCGCAAGTATGTGCATAAAAAGAACGAATCCTTACCCAATGAATTGATGGTGTCTCCATCAATCATGCATCCCCAATCAAATGCATGTACAGTGAGGCCGTATTATCATATTGTTGAGCAATGAGTGGAAGTAGTCAACCATTGGCTTTTCTTTGTTTATATGATGAGTTCATAGATGATAAAACTGGACTAATAATACAAGTAGACTTTCTGTTTCCTTAATTCACCCACAAAAACTTTCATATTGTCAATCCTCAAGCATAATTTTTATTTCAAACTAGCACATCCTTTCGATACCATATTATAACCGATTATTGTAGATTCAAACTTTGAAATCAATGCATAACAATGAAGCTGGGAAGCTGGAAACAAGATGAACACAATACTACGGTGAAACATGGAGATGGAAAAATTACACAATCTCAAACGCTTGGAGGAGAGAACAAGATTAATGATATAGATGCAGTTGGTTCGAGCTGAGAGACGACAAAGGTCATAGGTGGGGAGGTGCCCATTGCAGCTCAATGCCATAATTCCACGCCTCAGCAGGATCGTTGGGCTTCACATTGATCACCGATGTGTAAGCAGTGCACCCTCCAACCCGAACCCTGATCTTGTGAGAATTCATAGACGAATCTTTCAAGTAATGACAACAAAGGGTGCCCTTGCATCCACTCCCCACATCCAGAGCTTCAAACTTACGGCAAAAGCTATTGGAGGAACAATTCAGGGGCGACAAAAGGATGCTGTCGGAGCAGTTGAACAACATGACATTGTTACGGGTTGAAATGTGTGAAGGGCGAATCATCAGCAAGTCTAAGGCCTCCTATCCTGAGGTCGGAAGAGGAACACGAGCGGCTCTGTATCAAAGGTGGGCTTAAGACGAGCCTGGAAGCAAATGAGTTGATGCTTTGGATTCGATAGTAAAACCCTTCGGCCAACATGAACTCTAGGACACCGTTGTTGCAATAGATTTTGTACCTAGAGTCTCCACAACCATCTCTAGTGCTTAGAGGGTAAGGGACTTCCACGTTGCCACATCATAGACATGCCTCGACAGATGAAATGCAAGTTATCGTAGTGAGAAACAAGGCTGCTAAAAGGATCCTAAACATTGTTGTGATAGGAAAAGGAGAAATGGGATGTGAAGTATTGAGTAAAGGTAGCTAAGTGTTATGGGATGACCATGAAACAGGCAATTCATGATTAAAGAAAATGAAAAAATCCTAAAGAATGAGAAACACAAGTAAAGGAAAAGTGAGGCCTGTATCAGGGCATTATTTAGCAGCCAACCCGTGAGTAGGCATTTGTCATATAGAAATAGAAGATGACAAGGAAATTCAAAATTGATTTACTGCTAATCTTAAAATATTTTCCATGAACTTGGAAGCTAATTAGCTGGTTCAACAAGCCAACTAACCCATGAATTATGTGATGAAACTAAGTGCTTGCTTGGTAATGGATAGATTTACTGGATTGCCCTCAGAAATTCATCATGAATTGAATCGTTAGGATGATTTGTAGTAATGGCGCAATTTTTGAATTTAGCCACAATTAGAATTGGAGATATCACATTAACATACGATCTTTCGAAGACAACATTGGTTTATAATCGCCCTCTTCAATGAAACATGATACTGAATCGGGTTGGCAACGGGGTGGATCGGGGCCGGGGCAGTCCCATCCTTCACTCGCCCGAAAGTATATCGAGTTTTCCCTGAATCCGCCCCGTTAGCACTAGCGGGCTTTTTTTAGGCCCACCCCCGAAATCAACGGGTAACGGGTTAGAACCCGTTATAGCGGGTTTACCCGACACAAATCAAATCTGCTGAATCCAACAAAAATGCAGAGACACTACAATCAAATTGAAACTGAAAAACTGCATAAATTGCATATGAAATCCACCAACTTGCAAAATCCAGCAACCAGACATCAATAATTCATCATCCAAACAAAAGAAAACATGTTCGAAATTGGATTCCACCATCCATAAAGGCATATAGCCATAAACCAAACGGAAAAAAAAAACAAGTTCCAAATTGAACCAAACAACAAAAAAGAGCAGCAGTAGTTCTCTTCACCCTTCAGTCTTATCGAACAACACCATTATCAAGCAATCAGTCAGCAAACAAAATCCAGCAGCCCAGCACAACAATCACCAGCAGCACACTTCAATCTTCAATGTCCAAGAGTGTACGACTCTGGCTACCTTGAAAATCTGTGGCAATTTAAGGTACTTGTTAACTACTAACTGAAGATAATTGTTCATAATAATAAAACAGAGCACAAGTACCTTCTTTCTTAAACTCTTCACAACTTGGATCCTCCATTATCATCGCAGAGAAGCAAGTCTCCAAACCTTGAATGTCAGCCTTTCTAGCATCTACATATTCAAGCAGAGTATAGTTAACAAAACTTTCGAATATTTGAAATTAAAATAGACCGGGAAATAACAAAAATAAGAGCTCTTACCTTTGCAAATGTCACAAGAATCCAGCTACGGGTGCGCATGAGTGCCTCGACAGTTTCAAAGTGTAGCCTACTTCGATGAGGATCTAGCAGCCTACCACCAGAGCTGAAGGCTGACTCAGAGGCCACAGAGGTCACTGGTACAGCAAGCAAATCTCTTGCTACCTCTTGCAATAGTGGGTATTTTCCAGCATTCACCCTCCACCAATCCAAAACCCCAACATTTGAACTTTGAGGACTAACATCCTCACAGAGATAATGATCCAATTCAGAGCATAGTGAAACTGTTTTGGACCTTTTCCTTTGGCTTAAATAAAGCTCGAATTCAAGGTCACCAGAATTGGCCTTAACACCATTAACAGAACTAGAGGAGGCAGAATGGTCATCTCTGCCCTTTTGTTTCAACTGATACTCACGGACAACATCATAAATAGTGGCCTTAACAGTCACAGGATCAAGAGTAGGATCAGAGCCATTGCTCTTATCATAATAGTACTGAATCAGCTCAAGTTTGTATGCAAGATCAAGAACAACAGCGACAGTGAGCAATACATGGATATCAGTCCAGTATTTGCTAAACTTGGCCCACATTTTTTCGGCCATTTCACAAATGATGCTATCAGGATCAGTCATCCACTCAAGCAAATTCAATTTCAAGTCACAGATCCTTCGAAAGAATATATTAGCAGTAGGATAATTGCTTCCAGAAAGAAGCTTAGAAATATTTTTGAAAACCTCGAGCTTTTTGCTAATAACAGTAGCTAACATCCAATCATCATTGCTAGGCAAGGAAGTATAGTTAGGTTCTCTCTGATTCAAACGAGTGAACACTTCCTTGTATGAAATTGCAGATTCAAGCATATGCAAGGTGGAATTTCACCTAGTAGGGCAGTCAAGTGCAAGTTTCTTTCCAATACAAACATTCTTTTGCCTAGCAGTCTCTTCAAATAACTCAAGTCTCCTAGGAGTTCCAGTCCAATACACCACATTTTCCCTTATCTTTTAAATTCCATCTTTTATAATTTCAAGCCCATCTTTAACAATTAAGTTAGGAATGTGAGCCGAACATCTCATTTGCAGGAAGGAACCATTCAATAGAAAGTCAGACATAACCATCTTCCTTTTAATCTTTTCAATCATGGCATCATTTGTAGAACAGTTGTCAAGAGTTATAATGGATAACTTACAGTCCACACTCCAGGACATTAGGGTCTCTCGGAGCACACTTGCAAGTTTCTCACTAGTATGGGGGCAGGAACATAGAGAAACCTGTCATACACTCACACAAACATCAAATGAAGCTCGAAGTCAGTTTCTGTTAAGTGTTAAACAAATAAACATCAAAGAAAGAACAAATTGAATAAGCAATTTACCTTAACAAGTGGCTCCTAAGGTTCCAATTGTTGTCAACATAATGAGAGGTTACAGCCATGTAAGCCCTCTTCTAATTACTTGCTGTCCACATGTCAGTTGTGACAGCAATTCTACCTTTGTTACCATCAATCATTTTTTGAATCTTTTCCCTCTCAATCGCATACAAGGCAAGAATATCACTCTTGCAAGTGTTTCTAAAGGGAACTTTGAACAAGGGCTGCAAAGAATTGCAACAAATTTTGAAATACAAGTGATCCACCATACCAAGTGGATACTCATGCATCAAAACCATAGTGGCAAGTTCCCTCCTTGAAACCTCTGCATTGAACTGACCAGTACACAGTTCTTTCTTTCCAATCAAACCATTAGGGAGGAAATTAGTGGCAATGTTTTTCTGATTACCATCGTGAATTTGTTTCTGAACACACCTTTTTATGGTTCCTCAAATGAGAGGTACCATTGCTGGTGTCACCACCAAGAACCTTTCGACAGTACTTGCATCGTGCTTTCATTACACCATCTTTATCCATAAACCTTGTAAAGTGAGTCCAAACATCACGTTTCAGCGGACGTTTGGCCCCAAAAGGCAGGCGAGAGGGCTCTGACTCACCACCACCAGCAACACTAGTATCAGCATTGCCATTCACAGCTGTTGATGCATCAACAACAATCACTGGTTGATGTTGCTATGGTTCAGGCATGGGTTGAGGATTGGGGGGTGGGAGTGGGGATTGAGAGTTGGGGGCGGAAGAGAATTCAACTCCTTCCATTAATTACCTGCAATCACCCGAGAAAACAAACCAATGAAACCAATTAGTCGCTGCTAAATTCCTTGAAACCTGAAAGAACTAGGAGAATCAAGTAGGGAATGCGTTAGGGAATGCATCATTATCTGTCGTTCATTTTTCTTGTTTTTCTCTTTTTTAAATCTTACGGTTAATTTTGTTTCAGGATAGTTCTGGAAACAAAAAAGAGTCCACACCTAATTATTCTATATATTCTACCCAAACCCTAATTCTACACTGCCCTTTCTCCAGCCAAATCCTACTTCATCGACACTGGCCGCCGACTGGCGGCTGCCCGCACTCCATTCCACTCTCCTCCGCTGCCCTCTCTCACCTCCGCCCACCTCCCTTCGCCGGCCATTCCTCCCGATCCTCTCTCTCTCTCTCTCTCTTCCCATCCATTCTTCCTCCGCGGGAGACGGCTGAATTCCAACTCCCAACTCCATTGTCCCAACCCGTGAGAGCTACTTCGCCAGATACTCTAAGCAGCACTTCGACGGGTGCCGGAGAAGGCCCTCCGGGGTCTTGATCCAAGAAATGCCCAACGATTACTCCAAGGTGATCTCCTCCCCTCTCCTGTATACCTAAAGGCTAAAACCCAATTCCCTTCTCTCTCTCACTCTCTCCTTACTTCTGTTCTTCTTCAGCAAGACAAAAACGACAGCTGGGAAAAAGAAATTTTTCTGGTTTTTTATTGGTATGTACTTTTTGCATTGGTAGTGTTTTTCCCGTAATGGTAGTGTTTTTTAGCATTGGTATTCTTTTTTCGCATATTGATTATCATGTAATGGTATTGTTGTAATCTGCAATGGTAGTTGTTAATAAGTGGTAGTGGTAGTGTTTCGTGTAGGCTGCAGTCGTAGTTGTTAACGTTTTGGTATTGGTTTCTTGTTTTTTTTTTTTTTTTGGTAAACGGTTTCTTGTTTTTTCTTCTGCAATGGTATTGATTTTTTGTGAAATGATATAGATTTATATTGGTAGTTTTGGCGTAATGGTATAGATTTACTTCTGCAATGGTATTGATATTTTTCAAAGTGGTAGTGGTTGACTAATGGATTGGTAGTGATTTCGTGTCTTTTTTTTTTTTTTTTTGCAGATAGATTGAGAAAAGTAAGGAAGGGGATCTGGCTGGAGATTACAAAGTGAGAGAAAGAGAGAATTGTAATTAGTAGATTTTTGT